GGGTGTGGTTCAGTGGTAGAGCCCCTGCCTAGAATCCCCCAGTGAGGGGCTGGGGTGTGGCTCAGTGGTAGAGCACCTGCCTAGAATCCCCCAGTGAGGGGCTGGGGTGTGACTCAATGGTAGAGCACCTGCCTAGAATCCCCCAGTGAGGGGCTGGGGTGTGGCTCAGTGGTAGAGCACCTGCCTAGAATCCCCCAGTGAGGGGCTGGGGTGTGGTTCAGTGGTAGAGGAGACTAGCCTAGCATGCGCAAGGTCCTTGATATTCTTAATATTGGGGGTAATTGGAGATAGGCTAAAGTGGAGTGTGGTGGCCCAAGCTTGTAATTTCAGCACTCAGAGGCTGTGGTAACAGAATCACAAATCCAAGGCCACGACATAGTGAGAGACACTGTCTTTTCTCACAAGCAAAACAAACCAACTGCCACAAGGATGGAATCCAAATGGCAGAGGGCTTGTCCTGGCTCCAGACCACCTCATCAGGCTGCTGGGGCACAAGAGGCGCAAGAGGGATGTCACCATCACTAGAAATAGTCCCTGGGCCCAGGCAGGGTCAGAGTGTCTGAGCCCGATCTTTCTGAGTCCCCTCCAGGCCTTTCAAGCCTGATCCATCCTCTTCAGTGACCAGCAATATTTTTCCCTTTAGTGGACAGTTCTGAGAGAGAGAGATGCAGAAGCCCAAAGTAGTTGTTCAGGACAGGAAGAGCCACACAAGTCAGGGAGACAGATGTGAGAAGCTTCAGTGTTAGAACCAATCTGTGTACGAGATGTATGTACAGATGTGGGAGGATTCTAGGCAAGCGTGCATCTCTGTAGCTTTGTGTAACTGGTCTCTGAACAGGAATAAAGAGTTGCTTGCCCTGCTCTCAGATCATCTCAGAGCCAAGGGGAAGTTTATGTCCAGAACCCAAGTCCTCCCCATCTAGACCATACTCCGAGAGTCTCGGTCAAAAGGACTCTCAGCACGTCTGTGAGGACTATAAACCTGTTGTGTTCCCCAGTCCTCCTTCTGAGAGTGGAGCATGTGGGATTTCTGCTCTAGGACAGCTGTTGGCAGAATGGGAACTCCGAGTGTGAATACAGGGGTGTCAGAGGCCACCATGGTGAAGGCTGGACATGGTTTGGGATAAGAAAGGGAGCCATAAACCCATGGAGTTGGACAGTGGGAATTGGCAAAGGCACACTCCAGCCTGGAATTCTGGGAACTCTGAATGTGAACTTGGCCACCCAGTTTATTAAAAAAGGGGCAGCCATCAGTGATTTGTTAAAATGTGTTGACCTGGCTTGCTCCATCCCTATTTTTTCTGAGTTGGAGGCCAGGCTGGTCTACAGAGAGAGTTCCAGGACAACCAGAGAAACTCTGTCTAGAAATACACACACACACACACACACACACACACACACACACACATTTTGGGAGGCCAGATACAGGGTGTGGCACAGGATTTCATCACACTTGATGGAAGCGCTATTGTACCCCTGACTCTATTCTCTCTCTCTCTGGTTTTCACGTGGCCCAGGCTGCCCTTGAACTCCCTAAGGAGCTGAGGAGAACTTCTGATCTTCCTGCTTCCACCTCTTGAGTCCTGGGATAACAAGCATGATCCAGTATAAAGCAGATGTTTTGTTTCGTTTTTTAAAAAAAACAAAACCCAAAAAACTCCATTTCTTTTATTTTTAATTTTTTTTTTTGGTTTTATTGGACAACTCACTTCAGAAGAGTCAAAGTTTTCATATAGGCAGACCCTAGGGAACTAGATAAAGGTTATTTTTCTCCAAAGAGTTCAAGTCCTGTAATTTCATTTTCTTCCGGCTTTGAGCACACTCAGATTTCTGCCAACTGGATTGGGTAACACTGCCTGTCCATTTCTTTCAGGACATTACTGTCTGTTGTTCCTGGTGAATTAGGAATTTCCAGATTATTGTTGTCACTTTGTTTTTAATCCTTGTTTTTTTTTCTTTCTTTTTTTTAATTAAAAATTTCTGCCTCCTCCCATCCCCCTATTTCCCTCCCACTGCCCCTCCCCCTCCTTCTCCAGTCCTAAGAGAAGTCAGGGTGCCCTGCCCTGTGGGAAGTCCAAGGTCCTCCTCCCTCCATCCAGGTCTAGGAAGGTGAGCATCCAAACAGACCAGGCTCCCAAAAAGTCAGTACATGCAGTACAATCAAAACCCAGTGTCATTATCATTGGCTTCTCAGTCCGCCTTCATTGCCAGCCACATTCAGAGTGTCCAGTTTGATCACATGCTCCATCAGTCCCAGTCCAGCTGGCCTTGGTGAGCTCCCATTAGATCAGTCCCACCGTCTCAGTGGGTGGACGCACCCCTGGCAATCCTGACTTCCTTGCTCATGTTCTCCCTCCTTCTGCTCCTCATCTGGGCCTTGGGAGCTCAGTCCAGTGCTCCAATGTGGGGTCTCTGTCTCTATCTCCATCCATCACCAGATGAAGGTTCCGTCTGGATGGAACTCCTCAGCACAGGAACAGGGACTCCATTTTTTTTTTTTTTTTGAGATAGGATTTCTCTGTGTTCTTTGGCTGTCCTGGATCTCACAGAGACAGTTACAGATTCAGGGCCAGGGAGAGGGCTCCATGGGTAAAAGCACCTGCAGACAAGCCTGAGGACCTGAGTTCGATCCCCAGAAACCATCTGATGGAAGGAGAGAATCTATCCTCAGCCCTCTATACATACACCCTGTCATTTGGGTGCCCATACATTCACATAAAAAGAGGTACAGGCACTAAATAAAAAAAATGCAATTTTTAATTGCATGTTTATAGCTTTATAGCTTGGAAAGGAGAAAGATCAAAACCTTACAAATGCTTCATTGATTATTTTTTAGGATTTATTTTTATTATTGTCCATGTGTGTGTTTGGTGTGTAGTGTGTAATATGTGTGTATGTGTAGTGTGTGATTTGTGTGTAGTATATGTGTGGTGTGTGAGTTTGGTGTGTGTGTATATGAGCGTGAATGTAGCATGCATGTTTTGGGGTGTAGGTATATGAGTTGTGTGTGTAGTGTGGTATGTAAGTGTGTAGTGTGTGATTACAGGCATGTACCACTATAATCAGACAGCATTTTTATTTTGAACAAGAAGAAACCAAGGCGGCTCAGAGATGACATGAGTCATTTGGAGCGCCCCTCCCCAACAGAAAGAACTGGGGGCTGGGGATCTGGCTGGCTCCAGAACTCTTTAATCCTCAGTTGGGTGAGGAATCTCACACTTACTTTCTTTTTTCGAGATAGAGTTTCTCTGTAGCTTTGAAGCCTGTCTTGGAACTAGATCTTGTAGACCAGGCTCGTCTCGAACTCACAGAGAGTTCCTACCTGCCTGCCTCTGCCTCCCGAGTGCTGGAATTGAAGGAACGCACCACCACTGCCTGGTTTTAGCTGCTCACACTTCTGATCATGGTACCTAGGAGGCAGAAGCAGGAGGATTGCTGCAAGTTCAAGGAGCAGCCTGGGCTACAAAGTGAGACAATATTGGGGGAGGGTTGCTTGAGGCTAAAATCATGGGCACTGGCTCTAACACCCTCATCCTGCAGATAGCTGGCTCTAGCGTCCTCATCCTGCAGACCCCTGGCTCTAGCACCCTCATCCTGCAGACAGCTGGCTCTAGCGCCCTCATCCTGCAGACCCCTGGCTCTAGCACCCTCATCCTGCAGACCACTGGCTCTCCCGCCCTCATCCTGCAGACGGCTGGCTCTAGCGCCCTCATCCTGCAGACCCCTGGCTCTAGCGCCCTC